CACCAGAAGGCTGTGAGCCGCTTCAATTGTGCCAGGACACAATGTAAGTTCCCTCTTTAATGTGTTGCAGTAATGTAGACTCTGGGAAAATGGTGGCGTTTGACATGACGATGTCCCAAAACAATGGAGAATTGGTGGAGTTTCGCATTCAAATTTTTTAAAAACTGTGGAAAAATGTTCGGGAATGGCAGAAAAATGTGGTTTGTCTTTAAGAGAACAGGAGAATGATGGTCCAGTTTGATCTTAATATGTCTAAGAGCTTTGACATGAACATCTTTCTCCGCAGGTCCGCCTGTCCGGACGAAGGTGTCCACCTCCAGCCGTCCTGCCCCGACCTCAACAAGGTGAACTTCACACCACACGGAGGCTCTGCTTTTTGCCGCGTCAGCGTCCTCAAGCCCCTCCTGCCCTCCATGGACCTGCTCTTCCGTGGCCTGTCCGTCTCGCCCGTCACTAGTTGCCCGGGCCAGGCGTCTCCCACCAGGCAGCTCGGCATGCAGTGAGGGTGATGACCACCTCGCTGGACTAAATTGCTCTGGGTTTACTCCGGGCTTTACTGCCTCGTCACAGTAGCCTTGATCACACGGACTTGTGGATGAATACCAACTTGTTTTGTGACTTTGTTACTGATATATGATCAAGCTCATTGTTTTTGACAAGGTACTTTTCTACCAATTCCTTATCAAGAAAATTTAAAGTATATTTTTGTAGCTTTCGTGGTGACGTTATTTGTATCAGGCAGGAGAAATCAACTCCTTTCTAGGTTTATAGTGCGTTCAACGTTATAAACAGGAAACTTTAATTTCCTACTGAGGGTTTCTTTCTAATCAAAACATTGCAAATGCAAGATTGTTAAACTGAATTGATATTTATGTGTAATTTGTTTCCCATTCAACCTACGACACCCATAATTCAATATTGTGACAAGAAAACGTTCCATTTTATTCTCAGTGATGTGGAAGAGCTTGATTTTTTTTGCCCGAGTTAATGTTATCGTACAGTGTGCTCATAAATGTACTTACCCTGGCAGAATTAATAAACAAAAAAATAAAACATCAAGTAATTAATGAGATATCATTAAACGTTCTTTTTCCCAAAGAAAATGTCCTAAATTCTGCTTGGGTATGTACATTTACAAGCATAACTGTACAGTATGTAGATTAAACAGTGACTGATTGGGGGGGGGGCGTTGTTTTCATTTTTTTCCGTGAAGACTAAATGAGCGAAATGGATTGTATTCTTAATATCCAATTTCTCATTCATCGGATCTACTACAGTACGACACGTGGATTAGAAGTTTTTAAATATCTAAATCCCACCCAGCTCCACCAGAGCCGCTCTATGATGGGCCAAACAGAATTGTTTCTTTCGTGTATTGACCAATACGTACAATCCACATAATCTGACGTCAAAATCAGTTAGATAGTAATTCAAATTGTCAGTGGTCGCTGTGATGACAGGTGGCCTGCTGTAATGTGCATGACTGCCACCTATGGGACTGGAATAGAACAATCATGATTTTTTTTTTTTCAGACAAGCAGAAAGATTGTTGGGCCTTGGTGGAAGTCTTTGCTGTGCTGTAAAATAAAAATCGTGATCTTCCATTTTGTCATCATGCATCCAGACGCCATCTTGTTGGGCGGAGGAGACGCAGGCCAGGAGAAGTTTCGGTGGTCACAAGCGCTCAGCATCGTGGGGCAGCGCCGAGCACCTGAAGGAGGCAAGCATCTTCATAAGTTCCTCATCAACCATCATCATCACCATCATCATCTTCACGTTCCTCTCTCTCCCCCCCACACTGCCTCCAGGTGGCCAAGCTGAGGCAGCAGCTACAGAAGCGATCCCGCCATGCCGCTCCCTCCGCACCAGGTTACGAACCGTCGCACCACCCGCTGACCGCGGGCGCCACCCAGGTACGAATGCTGATGGCATCTTTGGTTCTTCTCTGAAAAGACATAATTATTTCCCAATTTATTTTTATTTCTTCATAGGTTTCCGACAGATACTTTTAGTTCCTGGGACTAAACGTTTCCGGTTAGCTATTCCCTCATTAAAACGTTCCTGAAAGGTTTTCCCGCAGCTAGCAGAGTTTTTTTTAGGCCCAAATAAATTCAACAGCCTCAACTCGGACTCTCAGAGGACCGACGAGAGGCAGAACGGAGACGCTGATTGGACCTCAGCAGGTAGCACATGATTATGACATCGTGGTCACGTCAATTGTTCCATGTCGCTTATCAGTAATAACAATCCCGACGCATGTTCGCCTGATTGGCATATCACTTGATGCAGTTCATTCCAGTCCACTAGGTGGCAGTTATACGCCCGACAAAGTGGTTGTCATGCTGTTTCAGGAAAGGACAACACGCCATCAATGTTGGGCCTCTGCGGCTCTTTGGCGTCGCTGCCGAGCTCCAAGTCGCTGACCAGCCTCAAGTCCAGCGAGTGTCTGGTCAACATCAGCACCGAGCCCAGCCCCGCGCTCTCCCCCAGCTAGGACACAGCACCCGACAACCCCTCCTCGCATTTCAATTTCCTCCCTCTCACCCTGAACCAACCGCCAACGTCTCCACGAATGTACAGCAGGAATTCTGGTCGTTATTATCTTTGCCTCTTTCGGTCTTTTTCTCACCCGCATCCATTTTGTTGTCTCTCGGACATCACAACAACACAAACCAGATGTCAATACTGTCAAACCAAAACAAACACGCAGCATTGGATGTGACGCAACACCTCCTGTTTCGGCCTACTTCCTTCTTTGTGCGCTTTAAACCTGAGATTATTGTTATTATTACTATTGTTTTGTGTTGCAATAAACTGCCTTTTACATGATTGCATGATTGATACACAGGACTTGTGACTGCGTGAAAGTTAAAGAAGGAATCATCAATTTAACCGGAATATGCGAACTTTGGCTCCATCTACCGGCAATCAATAAAAAAAACTCCTATAAGCCACTTTATTAGGTACACCTACCAATGAAATGAGAATTTCGTTATTTTATGAGAAGATTTTTTTTTCTTTAATCAGTACCTCCCCGAATAAAAAATAGTTTACCCTTTTAAAAATTAAGTTTTCATCGCTCCATTTTTTTTTGGGGGGGGGAGGGCGGTAAAAATATGTAATTTTCATCCCTTTGAAATATTACATGTTTTGAAAATACATAAAAACATGATCAAACTTGTTTGTTGCAGTAATAGTAATACATCGAAGGGAAATTAAACCTTGCTTTTGAATAATACATTGGTTAAACTTTCAATTGTCAATACAGAAAAAAAAACACTTTTTTTTCAATCAAGTACATCGATTGACTAGACTCATCCGCGCACACACATACAAAGGATATCCAACCGTGAAAATAAAAAAAAAGAAGTGGGTTGGACCTCCAAACTTTTTTAGGGGGTGCAGATGACGACCAATGGGAGCTCGCTTTTCCTTCACCAACCAACCAGATGCCAGACGACCCAAAACTTTTGCATGGTGTCGCCACTTCTTGTCACTCGTGTTGAGAGCAAGCAGCACACCAACAAGAAGAAAAAGAAAAAAAACATCTGACAGCAGGCCGCGATGGGACTTTGGGAGCATCGGTGCCCGTGAACGGAAGAGCTGAGCTTTGCGCGTGCCGGTGTGTTTTGTACGTGCGCTTGAGTTCTTTCCAACCGGACCTGTGAGGGATGTCGGGCCGAAGTGGAGCAGCTCCTCGCGGGTGCAGCAACCCCAACTTGCCGCCGCTGCCACTCCGGGCCACGGTGCCTTACCAGCTGCTCCTCAAGACGGGTAATCAGACGCGCGCGTGCACGCACGCGCATGCACGCGTCAACCTCATCTCGTCATAAGTGTGCGTTAATATGTTTAGCTGTAATTACGATTAAAAAAAAAAACATAGATGGTAGGTAACTCTTCATGGCAAAGTATCTGAATAATAATCTGAAATATTATGATGATACCATATTAAATTGAAGTGGTCAATCACATTCGTAGGATGTAATTTAATATCTCCTGTGATTTGTTGTCACAAAAACTGGACGAAATGCTATAATTTCGCTATTGTAATTGTTCGAGTGCAATTTTTGGACTTTTGTGGGATTCATCATCCTTAGTTTTCGTCCAATATGCACTTTTGCTGTATCGTGATATCAATATCATTGAAATTACAATACATGCATAAATTATGCCACGACTCACTATGCTATCATGCAGTTGCTGCATTGTGATATCATTTTATTATGAACATTTCCTATGACTCACACAGCAATTCATAAGATATGATAAGATAAGAAAAGCTTTAATTGTCTCACAATGGAGAAATTCCAAATTTACAGCAGCAAAACTATGAAAGGGAGAAAGTAGAAGACAAAAAGTATATGAATTCCCACGCCAAATAGATGTCATGATGTATCAGATGTGTTTTTTGTCAAATGTTTCTCAGAATTGTTTTATTGTGATATCAACATCGTTGTACAAACATTGTGATGTTAACTTAAAGTGACCCACGTTGTGATTGCCACCTATTTTGATTGCACTGCTTCTCAACAAACAATATGCAATCAGTTTTTAGAGCAAAATGAAACTCTGAAAGAATAAATGACAAATAATAATAATTAAAAAACAAACCAATAGATAGTAATTTAAATTTCGCAAATGGCTAACTGGATACATTTGCTACATTGTTCCCCTTTGAAGCACTAGCCATGATACTCCTCATCTCCAATTTTTGCTGTCCTTTCTTGACATGAGCCGCTCTCATCAGTCCACCGATTGATTTTAGGCTCTCGCTGCAGGGCGCGTTCGCTTTTTCCCCCCAGTGGTTGGCTGAATACTATTTGAGAAAAGTGATTACATATGCAGAAGAGCCTGCATTTGAAATGTAAATATTGTTGATGATCAGGTTTATTTACTTACGGCAGTCAAAATTACCTCAAATATTGATTATCGCTGTATGCTTTGTGCATGTGGCGCTCCTTGTGAGTCGGCTTGGTTCACAAATGTGCATGTGTGTCTTTTCAGACCCATGCAACGCCTGGGATCAATTTAGCAAATAACCCCGTCTTAAGAGTCTTTTCATGCTTTTTTTTTTTTTTTTTGGTCTCCCTCCTCCGCACCAGGTTACGAACCGTCGCACCACCCGCTGACCGCGGGCGCCACCCAGGTACGAATGCTGATGGCATCTTTGGTTCTTCTCTGAAAAGACATAATTATTTCCCAATTTATTTTTATTTCTTCATAGGTTTCCGACAGATACTTTTAGTTCCTGGGACTAAACGTTTCCGGTTAGCTATTCCCTCATTAAAACGTTCCTGAAAGGTTTTCCCGCAGCTAGCAGAGTTTTTTTTAGGCCCAAATAAATTCATATTAGTCATTTATTATTATTATTATTATTATTAGTATCCAAAACCGAAAGGTGGATACCCGATTCTCTGCTCCCCAATTTGCACACTCTTGCTGCAAGGTATAGGAAGACACTTGAAACCTGATTTGGAAAGTGCAAGACCAGAAGAGTGTTTTATAATTGGTGGTGTTTTTTTGTTTTGTTTTGTTTTTTTTTTTTGCTCCAGACATCGCCTCTGGTGCCGCTGAGCAGACTGACCTCGCGCCTGCGGCGCAGCGTCGAGGGCCTCAACTTGGAGCTGGAGGAGGTGTTTGTGTCAGAAAAACGGGACGAAGAGCATGAGGTGCTGATAGGGATCAGTCGCGATGAAAATGGGGATTCTCGCAGTAGCGGGAAATCCAGAACACTTGACTTTGTGTTGCAGCTTTTGGACATCCCGGACGGTCACAGGGCTCCCGCTCCGGTCCAGCGGTGCAGCAGTGGTTCCCAGAGCGAGTCGTCGCCAGGGCCCTTGGATCTTTCCCTGCTGTCTCCTTCTCAGTCACCGTGTCCCTTGGACCCTGCCTTGCTGTCTCCGTCCACCTCGCCCAGTCCTTTGAACCCTTCGCTCTTCTCCCCTACCCAGTCACCAGGTCAGGCGCTCGCTTTCAGGTGTTTATCGTAATATTTTTCAGAAGTGGTAACCGGCATTTGTCCATGTAACAGAGTCGACCACTCGAGAGGTCTTTTGTCCGTCTCCTTCCACGCTTTTGCCTTCATATGCAGTGGATCCTCCCGCGTTGCCACTGTGGTCGTTGCCTCCCTCCTCGCCACCGCTGCGGCTGCCATGTCCCGACCAAAGCTTTTCCTTTCAGCGACCGCCACCAGAAGGCTGTGAGCCGCTTCAATTGTGCCAGGACACAATGTAAGTTCCCTCTTTAATGTGTTGCAGTAATGTAGACTCTGGGAAAATGGTGGCGTTTGACATGACGATGTCCCAAAACAATGGAGAATTGGTGGAGTTTCGCATTCAAATTTTTTAAAAACTGTGGAAAAATGTTCGGGAATGGCAGAAAAATGTGGTTTGTCTTTAAGAGAACAGGAGAATGATGGTCCAGTTTGATCTTAATATGTCTAAGAGCTTTGACATGAACATCTTTCTCCGCAGGTCCGCCTGTCCGGACGAAGGTGTCCACCTCCAGCCGTCCTGCCCCGACCTCAACAAGGTGAACTTCACACCACACGGAGGCTCTGCTTTTTGCCGCGTCAGCGTCCTCAAGCCCCTCCTGCCCTCCATGGACCTGCTCTTCCGTGGCCTGTCCGTCTCGCCCGTCACTAGTTGCCCGGGCCAGGCGTCTCCCACCAGGCAGCTCGGCATGCAGTGAGGGTGATGACCACCTCGCTGGACTAAATTGCTCTGGGTTTACTCCGGGCTTTACTGCCTCGTCACAGTAGCCTTGATCACACGGACTTGTGGATGAATACCAACTTGTTTTGTGACTTTGTTACTGTAATATGATCAAGCTCATTGTTTTTGACAAGGTACTTTTCTACCAATTCCTTATCAAGAAAATTTAAAGTATATTTTTGTAGCTTTCGTGGTGACGTTATTTGTATCAGGCAGGAGAAATCAACTCCTTTCTAGGTTTATAGTGCGTTCAACGTTATAAACAGGAAACTTTAATTTCCTACTGAGGGTTTCTTTCTAATCAAAACATTGCAAATGCAAGATTGTTAAACTGAATTGATATTTATGTGTAATTTGTTTCCCATTCAACCTACGACACCCATAATTCAATATTGTGACAAGAAAACGTTCCATTTTATTCTCAGTGATGTGGAAGAGCTTGATTTTTTTTGCCCGAGTTAATGTTATCGTACAGTGTGCTCATAAATGTACTTACCCTGGCAGAATTAATAAACAAAAAAATAAAACATCAAGTAATTAATGAGATATCATTAAACGTTCTTTTTCCCAAAGAAAATGTCCTAAATTCTGCTTGGGTATGTACATTTACAAGCATAACTGTACAGTATGTAGATTAAACAGTGACTGATTGGGGGGGGGGCGTTGTTTTCATTTTTTTCCGTGAAGACTAAATGAGCGAAATGGATTGTATTCTTAATATCCAATTTCTCATTCATCGGATCTACTACAGTACGACACGTGGATTAGAAGTTTTTAAATATCTAAATCCCACCCAGCTCCACCAGAGCCGCTCTATGATGGGCCAAACAGAATTGTTTCTTTCGTGTATTGACCAATACGTACAATCCACATAATCTGACGTCAAAATACGCGACGTTTTTAAAGAAAAGACCGTTTTTTTTGAAACAGAGTAGCTGCCTTTTATATTGAATAGGTACAAATATGTGGTTGAGTATTAAACATAACTAACCTCAATAGAAATGTATTTTTATCGGTTTCGTCAATGTGCATTAATTTATCTCAGTTACTAGATTAAACCAGAAAATAAAGCGAACACAATCAGGCGAATTTACGGACACCATTTTTGAGGTCCTTTCACAACAGCGAATTTCCAGACGTGATTTAACGAAACCTGTAATTACTTCATCACAACGGCATTCCTCTGCAGCGAAAGTAAATATTTAGACAACGCAAATGCAAAACGATAAATAAACAGTAATGACGTCTCCTGTGCAAAAGTGAAAACATAATACCCTGAGCATCCACTTCGGCTCGGGACTGCGGCTATAGTGGAGCGGGACGTCAGTGTCGGGGGCACCGGGAGCTCGGCGGTGTCGGTTTCCATACCTGCACTGGTGGCGGACGGCATGGCTTCGGGCAAAGGAGCATCCAGGGGCCCATCGATGTGGGACAACATGCGGTTGCGCTTCATCGTCTGTTTCCTGGGCGTCTTCGTGTGTTATTTCTATTATGGAATTCTACAAGAAACCATGTAAGTAACCAGGACTTTAGTTTGGGTTTACACGACAGCTGGTGGGATTGCTCCATTGATCATTGACGTTACAGCTACCATTCACCTTAATTTTCCCTCACGGACTTAGTCATGTATGGAAATATAGTTTGTATCCCTTCTGAATGTTTTGGAACTGACATAATGTCTCCTCAGTTGAGTTTTGTATCCAATATTACAAGATACTGCTGTGTTTGTTTCCCAGTTACAATAGTGAATAGCTTGTTACAAGTAAACGGCGGTAACACTACCATTTGTGGTCTGTATGATAGATAAGATATTATTGTATTCGATGGAAGTGGGCCACGACACTGATGGAATGCTGTTGCCCAAGTGGCATGGAGAGGGTGGAGGGATCATATCTGGTTACTCCAACGTGACGACCTCACGCAGTGTTTATACAACAATAAATTGTGTGAACTTGAAGGTATCACGGCCACACCGCCAACTGAAGTGTATAACTTTTGCTTGACCGCAGTACAAGAGGTGATTATGGCCATGGTGACCAAAAAGAAAAGTTTCGATTTGCCAGGACGTTGGTGTTCATCCAGTGCATCATCAACGCTCTGTTTGCCAGGATATGTAAGTATTTACACCTTCAAGGTCCAACACAGTTCGATGTGAGAGCCTGGTTTCAAGCTAAATTATCACAGCGGGAAATACTGTATAGGAAAGCAAAATAATCAAAATGTCACCATCACAAATCTCTTCCCAACATGGACAGGAAATGTTTAAAGTCAAAGTTCAACATTCTTCAATATTGTAAGTGTAACGGTATTAAAAATAACATGTCAAATTTTCTTTTTTTTTTTTTTCATCAGCAGATATACCTATCATAAGTGACATACATATGAATTCTGCCAATCAACACATTTCAAATATTTGGGCATGACGAGATAAAAATATATTTTTTCTCATTGTCTTATGGGGCAGTCAAAATTGTGCCCCTCAGAGTTCTGTCTACTAATAACTTCCAAAATGTGTTATTTGTTAAAGGTAAATATTGATTGAACCCAAGAATTCTGTCAAGCAACAGCTTAGACGCAAAGCCGTAGGAAAAAAAAATATGAACAGTCTTTGAGCTCATGGCACTGCTCTGTCATTGGTTACATTTTTATGTCAAATGATTTACGAACACCATGTTGTCAATCAGGTTCTCCAAAGGGTATTTATTGCCTTGCATTCGCTTTGCTCGTTTTTACCAAAAGAGTTTTGCCAATTTTTGCATTGCATAGAGACATTATGTGAAGCGAGGCGACACTGTGACACCAGTGCATGCCATCGTCCAGACTTTGTTTTCTACGGCGTTGAGAAACAAGTGTACATATCGGTACAGTATATCCTATCTGTATTTTATCGATTGTATTAAAAACAATAAAACACTTGAGTTGTCAGATTTGAGTGTGTTTACTTCACATCCACGACAATGTTTCTTCCTTTTTTATCTTCCTCTCCAGTGATTCAATTTTTCGAGGGTCCCAAGCCGGACTTCACCAGGAGCTGGTTATACGGCCTGTGTTCCCTCTCGTATGTGGGAGCCATGGTGTCCAGTAACTCTGCTCTACAGTATGTCAACTACCCCACACAGGTCAGTCCAAAGTCCCTTGAATGTCCAGGAAATATGCATTAGTTGATAAACATGTTCATAGTTCCTAAAACAATACCCTGTTTTTAGGTGCTGGGAAAATCTTGCAAGCCAATTCCAGGTAGGTTAAGTATGCTGTATTTTGCAGTTACACATGCATGCCGGCACCCGTTGTCTGCCTTGAGTTTTTTTTCCCGCTCAAAAAGTCGTTCAATCAAGTTCATGTTTATCGCCGCAGTGATGATCCTGGGGGTGACCATCCTGAGGAAGCGCTACCCAATGGCCAAATACTTGTGTGTGCTTCTGATCGTGAGCGGTGTGGCGCTCTTTCTCTACAAGCCCAACAAGAGCTCAGCGATGGCGGACGACCACGTCTTTGGCTTTGGGGAGATCCTCTTGGTGAGTATTTGTACCTATAAAGTAAAAAATAAACTAAAATAAAAGCCCAAGGCTTAAACATTTCTTGTCACTATCTTATTTGTACAGCTGGTGTCATTGACGCTGGATGGCCTGACAGGCGTGGCCCAGGACCACATGAGGTCCCGCTTCCAAACGAGCGCCAACCACATGATGCTCAACATCAACCTGTGGTCCACTGTGCTCCTGGGATTGGGTGAGTCACATTAGCGATACTACAAAGAGAGAAATTCAGATCCACTTATCTGATTTAGTGAGGTGTTGCCTTCAAGGGATGGTTTTAAATCATAGTTTTGTTCGAATGGCCGTCAACATCCGTCTCATCCTATTGTATGTCATATTTCCACACACCACTTGGTGGCGCCATAGACGCAGCATTTATCCTGCCAGCGCAAGCGATATTTGAGGCCCTTGACAATGTATTATGATTTACACTTTTTTAAAATTAAAATGTGTTTGAAGGGAGCGTTTAATCATCATTTTGTTTTCTTAATAGTTTGAAACTGGAGACCGATTAGGACAATCAAGGGTAAATTCTGAATGTGTATGCTCTGTGCAGCTGTGCTGTGGACTGGTGAGGTGTGGGAGTTCCTGAGTTTTACGGAACGTTACCCGAGCATCTTATACAACATCCTCCTCTTTGGATTGACTAGCGCTTTGGGCCAGGTGAGCCAACGTTAAAAAAAAAAGATTAAAAAGCCAGCAGGACGTATTCAAAATAAATGACATGGTTCCCTGTTTGATGCCAGACCTTCATCTTCATGACGGTGGTTTACTTTGGACCGCTGACCTGCTCCATCGTCACCACCACCAGGAAGTTCTTCACTATCCTGGGCTCCGTCCTTCTCTTTGGGAACCAAATGAGCGACATGCAGTGGTTTGGTACCATTCTGGTATTCCTTGGTGAGAGAGATTGGGAATTTAATTGGATGTAAGGTGGTACCTTGACTTACAAGTTAAATTTTTTTTACCACGTTTGTATCTCAAATCACTCTCAAATAATTTCCCCCCAATTAAATGAATAGAAATGCCATTAATTTGGAAAGGTACCAAAACTGAGGAATGGCTAGTATCTTGAAAACTCCCAAGTTGAGTCACTAATAAGTTGAGGTACCACTTTTTTTTTTTTTTTTGACAATTACTCAGCTGCTTCTTCACACCTCTATTTTTGACCTTTCAGGTCTTGGATTGGATGCAAAATTTGGCAAAGGACCCAAGAAGACAGTACATTAAGATACCGGAACACAATCCACAAGCCGGAACCTTACTTCTCGTGCAGGATGCAACTTCTATGACCTCATTTTTAATTAATACAAACTCTTCAGTTTTAACACATTCATCAAGGACAAAAAAAATTGCAGGATTTAAAGTCATGAATTTAACAAACCATGACATGTTGCTTGCTAAATGTTTCAGTATCACATGTTCTTGGCCAATAATTAGCCAAGTAACTTGTCACTTATGAAACATACGTTTTGTTTGTCGTTTTGTGTTTTTGTTTTTTGGTACAAATTATCAATCACTTTTATTAAAGGGAAAACGTCACCTTTGATGTAACTTTTGTTTTACTTCATTTAATTTGTGTTGGCAGGGAACACACACTCCCAAACAAGCACTGTGTGGAATATGTAGCAATTTACTGGTAAATTCATATTCTTTCAGTGAGAAACTGAAAAAATCTGATCATGTGGCATATTCATGTTTTGGGGATCTTTAGTTGTAAATTTCTGGTTCCTCTCGTACCGAGCTAAACAGCGACTCCTGCTGCCACTTTATAGGAACAGCTGGTACTTTGGCGGCCTTGCTCAACGAGCCTCACGTCATGAAGATACTACAGTACTCATGTTTTCAGAGACGACGTAAACCACTGTTTAAACGTCACTTAGTTAACATTAATAATGGCATTTGTGTGTGGCCGTGACGTCACTATAATAACAATACAAAAACTGACACATTTTAAGGAAAAAAAGAACAGTAAAGTAGCAACTTTACGGCTGTTGTACATATGCCAGTTCTAAATAATAACCTATCAATGAAATCTGAAGCAGCACAAATTGAAACTTTCAAAATATACACATTTTACTCCCTATTGTTTTGAGAAGATAGAAAATATCATCAAATCATAATTATTAATCATACGTTTTTGCCACTTTTTCTCAGGCATTCACCTCGACCTCCTATTTTAGTGTCCGTCTGCGTTTCTTCGGCTCAAACTGGCGGAATAAGTAACGCACTTTTTGGCCTGACTGCATTTAATCCCCTTATTTGTGTACAAATTGGGAGAAAGCACACCTAACTACCTGTCACGATGTTGGCTACAGTCCGCAAGCAACTGAGGAGCCACCCGGCTGTGAGTTAATTGAGGATTATCAGACAAAAACAGCCACGTTGCAACGTTTGCTTCGGAATTCTGTTGATATTCGTGGTTAGCTTAGCAACGCTAGCACTGACACAGGCTCAATTTATTTCGTCGAACTTTTCGTCCAATAAACAAAATAATACATTTTTGTCTTCCGCTGTTATTGCGTAACATGTGTCGTGACACATTTGAAGTTGTTTAAACGTCTGTCTGGGGATGCTTTGGAGTCAAATCGGGTCAGACGGCGCACAGACTGATAAGACGGCCAAGTAGGTTCTAGGTCGTAAATGGCAGCTGCTTAGCAATTTCACAAATAACTCTTTCAACGAAGCAGCTTTGCCATTCTGGAAAATCAAACAGTCAAAACCCCAAAGAATAACATGTTAAAGACACGTGTCTTTACAGCAAATATTAAAATATTTTATTAAAATAAAAATAATCAAGAAAGATTACTGAATGTACACGTTATTGATAGCCGTAGTGCTTACATTTGAACACAAATAGTAATCTTTTTTGTTCTTATTTGAACTGGAATTTATAAAGTTATTTTCTTGCTTCAGGCGTCCATGGTTGACTTTGTGACTAACTTGTTTGTGGTCAAACAGAAGGGCTGCTATTTTTTTCCTCATGCTGCTGCATTGTTTCTTGCAGCTGATCCCACTCTTCTTCTTCATTGGCGGAGGTACAGTCATGTCCTTGATGTACCTGGCTCGCCTGGGACTGAGGAACCCAGATGTCTGGTAAATATGCTACCCACATTACAAGGCATTTTAAACCCACTGACATGTCCTTCTAGCCCTATTGTTACCTATACCAATTTAGATTCTATATAGAGCCTTTCAAGGGATAAAAGGTTCCTTCACATGGACTCATGGGGTAATTAAACATTGAGCCTGTTCGGAGCTTATAGGGAGTGTCCAAAGTTTAGTCGTTTTTAACAATAATAAATACTAACTCCAAGACAGTTATCGAATAAACCTATATTCATCTGGCAACTGGTGGAAAATAAGGGTTTACGGTCTGAAATCTTAGCTCCCCAAATGTGGTACGATTTAGGAGTCTGAGCGTGATGTTTTGGAAAAATATACCAAGGGAAATTTATACTATGTATTGTCTTGAGATTTCAGCTCAGTAAACCTCATACGACAAAACTAGCTCCAAATTACAAACAACTGTGTAGTGTACCAGTGTTGACAAAATGAAAAGTGTATTGATAACCTTTGGCATGTGTGTAGTGCAATAAGTATTTCATGCACAAATAAATTTTCCAAATAGATGCTTGCCTAAAGACACTTGAAAATTCCAGCAATACTTTAAAAATGAGACAAGTTGACAGTATTGCTACGCAAACACGTTTTGTGCCATCTCCAATCTGTCATTGGTCTTTAAAGGGTTATTAACTTTTATTAATCTGAGTTATATTTAAGTGTTTTTACAGTCATGTGATTAGAACGTCAATTTTCTCTTTTCCTTCGTTCATTCAAATTGGTCAATAGGTTCTTTTTGTTCATTGTCTGTTTTTATTGTGAAACACCCGTGCAAAGGTGCAATCCAAATAAAATGATCAGTTTTGATGGTTTGATTTGGTAACGGGATCATTTCGCGTTACATTGTTTCCAATTGGGAAACATTCACATTCCACTTAGGTAAGCGGCATCATATTTTTATTTTTGTCATGTGTAGACTGTACTGGAAATAGATTTTTT